AAAAGTTATGTGGTGGGGTGGATGAATAAACATTGCTTTTCTTTATTTCATAAATGTATTTTATTTTAATGTCATGATTATGTCTCTTTTGATAAACAAAATTTTGTACAGCGCGGTGAGCCCAGCCCTAGGCTGGGGTACCGCGCTATATAAGAAGTCTTATTATTATTATTAATACAACTGAGCATTGGTGGATTTATTACTATAGATTATGCTTCTCTTTCCATCTTTTACATGTGCAAAGATGTTCCACATAAAATTCTAATTATTTCTAAAAATTAAAAGTGGTAAACAGAAGTTTCATTTACAAGTTTGTGGAGTTAATAAAAACTCATTTGTTATTTTTAAGCCACTTGATTGATGCAGACAAAGTTGCACAAAAAATAAATAGAACTTCTAATATGATAATCTAAGACTAATAAAAAGAGAAAGACGATAAGAGTAATAGAGTTTTTTTAAAAAGCTCACAGTACTACTGCAAGCCCTTTATTCAAAATTGTTTCGTCTTTTTTTTAATGACAATTTGACACATGGGAAGAATTTTTAAATTTCAAACACCTACCTACAGTATATGACTTAAATCAGAATTTCCCAACTTTTTCTATACAAATTGTTTTACTGTCATATATACTAGTTCTAAAGACTGTTTAAAAGCAACTATTTTTGGAGTAGAAAATCCTGAAAAGTGTATAACCCGCTCATAAGCTGACCCCCATAAAGTAATATGGCAGAGCAAGCCATACAGTACCAAAGAATATCTAATCTAGGATCAGATTATGCTGTTGCTAAAAGTGACTGAATAGTGATGCCATCTACTTCCAATATCTCTGTTAATAGCGGAAGTGCATGAATTAAAATTTGTTGAAATCCAAGTTAGCAAAACATGACAATTGAAACTTTATTATTTATTTATTTTTATTTATGGAGCAACATAATTCAAACAAATAATTAAGGTAAGCACAGATATTTGAGATATTTATTAGTATTTAAAACTTCTAGTAAAGTACTCATAATCTTGTAGCATGTACAGTAGACTAAGACTTTTGCTATCTGCAATAACAACAATTTCATTATTCAATTTTCTTGAAGAAAATTTCAAAATTATCCTATGACCAATGTTCCCTCTAAGATTTGTTGGTTTGTGTGCAAAATCATACAGTTGTGTGCAAAGTTAAAATAGCATCAATTTTTTTGTGCGCAAAATTTTACAGCCCACAAACACACACTTAAATGGAAATTTACTGCGCGGATACTCAAAACTGCTGCACTGCGTCTGTGAGATAGCTGCGTGGCCGCGCAGCTTAAAGGGAACATTGCCTAAGACACGTTCATAAGTCGGCCATCCCACTTATTCCCCAGAAATATTTTTAAAAAAAATCATCTTTAGAGCAAGTATAAATTAAACAGTATGTCGCTCACCCTTTACTTTTTGTTTGACTTAGTCTTAAATCCCCACTAAAATTAAAATTGTATTATTTAAAATTTTAAACAAATGGACTTCAAATGTGTTTAATCAATTACAAAAAGAACTGTGTAGAACTCAGAAAGAAAATAAGAGTCACTTTTACATAATGTCAAATCTTAAAGAAGATATAAAAAAAAATCAAACATTTATTTAATTTATAGACTATCATAACTTAAATGTCAATGGCTCCGCTGTTCTTATAACCAGAGCCCACTCTGAGAAATGCCAACTGGGTTGCTAACACTTCAGGCTGGGAAACCCGTTTACTTTTATTACTATTACTCCCTTAGATTATGTAAAGGTTTGACCTAACTAAAATTTATACATTGTTATTTAACCCTCTGGAGACGGAGCCTTTTCGGGTTGTATGTGCCAAAAAGACGGAGCAATTTTTACGAGCTCGAGACTCGCATTGCAAAAAATTTATAAAAAATAAACTATTCCCTTAATATATGTAAAACTATATATATTCTTGTAGGAAATTGAATGAACTAATACAATCTTTATGAATCAAACTGACATATCAAAATTTATGCAAATGAGGTGCCCTTATTTGCATAATTTATGCGTGTAATTTTTTGTTACACCTAGAATAAACATGACTTACTTGTATCAATTGTGTGAATTTTTTGATGGATGAAGCCTGAATAAGTCCTAATACTTATTTTTGGGGGGAAAAGGGCCCATGAAGGCCCTTCAGACACCTCTGGCACATGGTTCTACTCCTTTCCCACCCCCACCCCCTATTTTTCAGTTGTTACAGACACACTGTAACAGGCCCCCATTTATGACCTAGGGACCTTCTCTTAAGCTGAATGTTACTGACAAATGTGTCTGCATATCAATTGGTCTCTCTCATTAACACTTGAGTGATATTTAGTGTAAAAAATAGCATAAAATACTCAAATGGGGTGCTTATGACTTATTTATAGGACTTATGTTGTCTAAAAATTCAGAGGGGTCATCTCTGTCCATTTGAGGACCCCTAATACTAGTAATACTAAACCAAGAGTTCACAACATTAGCATTACCCTCAATTTGAAAGTCTTCATTAATTCCCTGGTTGTTTTCAGCAGTTTCAGTGTCAAATTCACTGCTAGAATATCAAAATTACTAAGCACAGTTTGATCAGAGTCACTGTCAGACATGTTCGAAATTCACGATGTAACTACACACACACACAAAAATTCCTGCAAACAAATAAATTGAGTTCACCTTCAACGAACGCCGCCATTACAATGCCGGGATGTGCAGGAATACGTATGAATAATTTTGATTCGTTGGTACAACGCCAAGCCAGCCAATCGTGAGGCTCGATCTATCAGGCCGACTGCTCGGACTTGACGTCTTTCTTCGCTAGTGTACCTCGGGCCGATAGATCGGCCCTTACGTCTCCAGAGGGTTAAATTAAGCCAAGAAGAAGGGAACATAATCTTATATTTAAAATTTATTTTTTATAGGCCTAAAACTAAATGGTAGGATGGGTTATGCTTAGGACAGCTTAATAAATGCAATATTAATGGCCTAGCAGTTATCAGGGCCTGTAAAATTGAATTGTGGTGCATGTCCTAATTGTGAACTGAGTGGTAGAGGAGGTCAGTTAGACCTACACTTACACTACTTACTTAACTTAGACTACTCTCCAAACTATTAATATTATTATTATAATTATATGAATATAATATAATATGATGATACCTTTAACTTTATAAAAATTAAATAAGCCTAGCGCTACTAGGCCTAATTATAATACAGGCTGGGCCTAATATTTAAAATTAATTTCGTCATAGACTCTATACTCTATACTCATATAGTAGGCGTAGTTGTACTTGTTAATAAGAATAAGTGTTTCTACCCCACGACTTTTATTTTTTATCGTCAACTTTTATCCTCTAAGTCTAACGCTAACTATAATAAATTAATATTATATATATATATATATATAGTTGTTTTTAACTCACAATCGTTCTGTAAATTTTGCCTTCGGAAACTTGATGGCGTTTGGAGTCTCGAGATGGTAATCCAGATTCTTAACGATTACAAGCCACTTTTAGTAATTTTAAAATTTTTGTGGCTTGCTTTACAGTTAATTATAATTTTATTCAACTCAATTCCACATTCGACACGTCGTGGTGATTGATATCCAGTCTACCTTCTTAATCAAGAAGCGCAACATAGAAAGTTACGCGAAGTCAAAAGCCATATAATCATCATAGGTTCGTCCATATCAGGATACGCTGTAGAATCGAAACTAAGCTAAGTGCAGTGGGTTAAGTTCGATCAAAACACCGTTGCGTTCAAGGACGTTTATTTCTGACGTCGCCATTTTTTCTGGTCACGTGGTTGAGCGATTCTTGTAAACAAGCTTTACGCATGCGTAGGTCAAAAGTCACACATACATGACGTTCGAAGAAAGCTCACTTGGTCTAATTCGAGAGTAATATAAAAGCCTACTATGATATGCACAGGGAAGGGCTTGGGGATTAAGGCAATGGTTGAGTAGTGAGGCCGTGGGATTTAGATGGTTCGGTAGAATCTTTACTTGATTCTTTGTTGAGTTCGGTGAACCGATGGTTAAATTATTGAAATAACAGTTCAAAAAAAAAAATTAAAAAGAAAAAAATACTAATTTTTTTTCTTTCTATCAGGTCGTCTTTAAAATTAAAAAAAATATTTTCCCTTTAACTTTAATATTTAAATCTCTAATTACTTACAATATCTAGTTTTGAGCGCCTCTTTTATTGTTATTATTTAAAGTAATAAACTAGATTTCGGTGTACCTTTTTTATAATTAAACCGTCATTTGCGGTATCAATGCGGTTGACAATTTATTTTAATCCCACCACTGGATTAAGGGTAGGCTACATCATGAAATTCCTAGTCTCACTCCGGTTAATTTCTTAGTTTAACTCATTTCGCCTTTCAAATTCCCTTCTTATTCCTAGCAAATTACCGGTAATTTTGGGACATGCATATCAGATATACATAAACACTGTGTACACCTGCTGAGTCAAAACCCCCAAAAACATATGACATGAGCACCCTACCCTTTGTTTGTTTATTTCTTCTTTCTTCTTCCCTCATTATTTCATATTTCTGAAAGAAAAAAAAAAGAGACCGATTTCACACAGTAGTTAACAAATCAACAAAATTTTCAGCTGACTAAGAATATTTTCGTGGAAATAGGAGGCTAAAATCTTGGCCCACCCCAGGTGACACTAACCGTTCACTAACCCTAGCTACGTCACTGATAACAAAACTGTCAGACATGCATCCATCAAATTTTAAGTTGGAACAACCAAATGTTCTTTAATGACACGGCCGGAATAGCTATAGTATATATTTTTCAAATTATTATTATTTTTTTTATCTCATTACCAACCTCTTTTGCGTCAAAAGTAAATTACAGTATGATTAAAATGCATCCCTCTCCACTTGTAGGAAATTATATAACTTTAGCATTGTTTTTTTTTTATTTAGTGAGGACGATCTGAGAATTGTCATTCGATTTGTTAGTTAAAGTTTGCGACCTCTAAAAACATACACGAAAACAAAATCTGAGTTAATACTTACCGGAAATGATACATGATATTTTTAAATATATGAAAATTAAGTATTTGAGCAAAGATTCGCATTTCGTTTGGTTGGCCTTGGCTTACCCGATTGGACTTGGACTGTGGACGTTGTCGTTTGTCTAAACCTGGTGCCAGTGGTGCTCGGTGACAGTGGTCAGTGTGGACTTGAAATTGTGGTGGCTTGTCTCGATGGGCCTTGCTTTCAGTCTCCTGATTTGGACTCAAAGTTTGATTAATCAGACGGTGGCCTTTTTTTTTTACTTGACTTAAGACTTTAAAATATTTAATTAATCATCCTCATCTGTTTTACTCTGTTGTAAGTGTAAGTTAGTCTTTTAAGTTACACATTCACTGTTAATTTAATTAGGGACTTTGGTATTGCCTGGAAACAGCCAAAAAACAGTTATTGTAATTTCGTTTCGAAATTGCAGCCTCCAATTTTTAATTTACTGAGGGCCGAGGCTATAGTTTTTGTTTCACATTTTTAGTTGATTTTTAGTTAATAATAATTAATAATAACGAAGTGGTTATTCGCACCCAGGTACTAGAAGTGAGAGGTTGGGATTAAAAAACTATTTAAAATAAAATATTATTGTCAATATTGCTGGGTTTGTAGACAAAATGAGGTATCAAATGAAAGATAATTGAATGTACTATATTCATTATATTATATGTTTGTAAACTTACTTCTTCAGTTTAACTAAAATAAACTATCACAAATGACATCCAAATAGCATTTAGTCAAAATGGCCCTGGATATGCAGTGCCGCCATTTGCACCTGGGTCCCAACGGTTCTCAACCTGTGGGTCGCGACCCCTTTTGGGGTTTGCACAACCCCTTTTGGGGCTACACGACCCCTTTTGGGGTTACACGACCCCTTTTGGGGTTACACGACCCCTTTTGGGGTTACACGACCATTTCACAGGGGTGGCCTAGGACCATCTGGAAACATATATACTCTACAGTTATAAAGTATCAACTGAAAATAATTGTGTGGCGGGTGGTCGCCACAACATGAGGAACTGAATTAAAGGGTCGCGGCACTAGAAAGGTTGAGAACCACTGCATTAGACCAATGCCATTTGGATGTTGTTGAAATTAAAAATATTTAAATTAACATGTTTTGTTTAAAAATAAGCTCAATCATAAAAGAACCTGCCCATTAAGATTATAAGTTCATTTATAACTTGTCCAAAATTCATGAGTGCAGACCATATGCAGGCATCGACAAAAATCAAAGAGGTCTGCATATTACCTATTATGGATCCCAGCAGTGGTGTAGTTAATAATTCATTAAATTGTTTATCCAGAAAATAAATGGGAAATATAACTTATTTAAAAATAAATTATTTTAAATAAATAGAAAAGGATTTATTACATAAAAAAATATTATTGGCTCATGAAATATCAATGTGATTTTAATTTTAGTGTTGGTTGCCATGGACTTGGGATAAGTGGTAATCAGTCACTTGTCTGACTTAGATAAACCTACTAAAAGAATTATGATAGTAATAAAACTAATATAAATGATTTGGTTAGTGGGACAAATAGCCTTTATTACAGCTAATAGATATATATTAATTATATATATATACATATTTAGTCTCTCTCTCTCTAAATTATATATATATATTTAAAGTTGCATTAATATAAAGCATACACCATTTTTCTATTTACATCTAAGCAATTTTATCACCTATTTTTCAGTTGCTCCATTCTTCTACTGAAACTTTCAATAAGCCAAAGTTCTTTTGGCTGAGGAAGGCTCTTGGCCAACTTACTGGTCGTGCTGTTACATCTTTTCTCAAGCTCTCTCTCAAACTGTGTGCTTCATATTCCCTACTTACAGCCTTATTGCAGCCCCCATTATTCTAAGTTATGGTTAGTCAATTTAAAATGCAGTTAGAAATTCATATCTGGGTAATGATGCAGTTTGGGTCTTTTTCAAGTATTTTGAATAAAATGGCAGAGTTGGCAATGTTTTCATATTTTTTACATAAACAAAATTTAATTATTGACATGACAACCTTTCAATAAACTTTGTTAAAATATCAGTCTGAGAAGCGCTTGTTAAACCAACCTATGTTGCTCTGTCAGGATTTGTGTACATAGGCATTCAACAAAGATGCTTTACGAGGCATTGAAATACTCAAAACGTACCCATAATCTTAGAGTTTACCCAGAATCTTTAAATAGTTTGCTACTTTTCACTGATCAGTGATAATGATAACTATATAGGAATTCATGTCTTATTCATGCTCATACTGGTGTTATAATTATTTTTATATCTTAATTTAATTCTTACTTTGATAATTAAGTAAATTCAGTAAACTTAATCATGCCATATGAATCACCGTTCATATGAAACAAAGACACCATTTTTGTATAATTGTGAAGTCAGTAGAGTCTGTGCAAGCATGCTTATTGTTATTTGAGCATGACTTTAACCGATATCTGCATTCTTCCTCTATAAACTTTACCTACACATAGCCAAAGGTATAAAGACGACCGATCCACCCCAAATAATTATTTCATTTTAATGTTTTAATCTTATAGAAGTCTACTTTCTTAATGAACAAAATTTACAAAATAAAAAAATCATACATTTTAGATATTTTTCCAAAAAAGTTAGATCATTTTTGGATCTAGAATAATTGAATTTAAAAATTGTAAGAAGTAAAAAAAAATAATTCTTTGTTATGTCTTATAGACTGTTTTAGATCTGTTGAAAAATGTCATTGAAAGAAATGAGAGAAGAGTTAACCTGCCCTATTTGTATGGAGCTATTCACACAGCCACGAAGATTACCCTGTGGTCATTCTTACTGTCATCTGTGCATCAAGGCTATTTTAGATAAGAAAGCTGAAGAGAGTGGGTAAGTTCGATAAAAAGTTAAATCTATCCTGTTAATGCTAATTTGTCTGTCAAAATTCATCATGACCATTTTAAACATCGGATTAGTGCTGGGGCTGAGTATGTGGATCTGCCGATGGCTTATCAGGCTGATTCTGGCATGAAATGTTCATGTGCAGATGGTGAAAGGGATGGATGGGACATCTCCAGGTGCAGAGTTAGTATGGGCTTTTTTGGCTTATGTTTTATGCTCTGCAGCAGCTGTTCTGTTTGCCACATGTTGCATGGAGTCTTTGTGTTATGAAGAGTGCCACAAGTCTCTATTCTTTGCATTTCCAATGCATCTGTGTTTTAATGTGAAATGCTTTCAATTATGCTTTCAGGCTGTCTTCAAACCTTTTCCTTTGTCCACCATCAAACCGCCTGTCATGCTTGACTTCGCCATAAAATATTCAGGGCATCCTATGCTAAATATCTGTTGTAATCACACAAAGTGGTTTATCAAACTTCTTTTGGTATGATTTTTCAGCCTTGGAATCTCCCCAAAAGACTTATTTGGTTTCTAAAACCATATTGATAGTGCCATAATCTATCTCACATTATTATGCTGTGCACTTCACATTCAATGTTTAAATTTTTTGGGGGGTTATTGTTCTTTGTTACTTTTTCGCATGAAATGTATAAAATTGATATCATATTACAAATTTTAAAAAATTACTTTCATGGGAGTAAAGTATTTAGAACCGCTGTAAATGTTGCAATGTTATATCTATAAGTTTTAGTGTGCTTTATGACGTTGTTGTTAGCAAGTTGTGTAGGGAATTGAGTATGATTTTTGGCAGTCATTTTACGACTTTGGTCGAGTATACAGACTGTCTTCTATTTTGATAGAAGAGAATTGATGTCTTTCCAGAACCCTGAATGTAAAAAATTTCTTCAACTAGATTGTTCTTGTCAAAGTTGATCACTTGTTAATTCTTGTTATGGTATAAAATTGAAAAAAAAAATGTAAGGGAATCTAGTTACCGTTATACTTAAGTCTTAAAAGGGTAATTAATTAAACAGAAAGGCACGAATAATGCTTCCTGCACCCCTTTTGAGCTAACTATAAGAGTACTTGGTGTTGTATCAATAATCTTTTTTAAAAATAATTAAGCAATTAGCTCAATAACACAGATCCAGAACTGTTTAAATTCACGTATAAAATCATTATAATTTTTTTTAAATTATAGAACTGTGTCTTAGCAGTGCATAAAATTGATGATGTTAAATCATAACGAAAAATATCCTGCTGATTTTCAGATCTTATCTCAACTATTCCCGAACACTTGTTTGTCCCGAGTGTCGGGAAGAGATAAACATTGATTTTGTTAGGGGGATAGAAGGAATTCCAACAGATTTTAAGCTTTCGAAGCTTGTGGAATTGTTTCAGTTTATGAAGGTTAGCTTTTTTTTTTTTATTATCCTGCTTCTTGGCATTTGACCTAACGTTGAGTTTTCTGGCATTGGCTTGATAACATTAGCAAGCTTTCTGACAACAAATTATTTTTTTGTGCATTAATTAATTAGGTTATGAAAAAACAGCATTTAACATGATTAATTTACATGTCTGTCGTAAAATAAAATAATTATTAACTATTTCGAATACGATTTGCTATTGAAATTTCCTGTGTATTTATTGAAAATTTGATTAATAAAAGTTTTAAAGTGACCATTTATGTAGACAATTGGAAAATTAAAATCAATTCTTTTATGGTTTCTTCAATATTAGTCACTTTATCATTTGAAACCTGTTTAAACTTTTTCATGAAAAATATTATAATATTTTGCTTTAATAATCTTCTGTTAGTATAAATAAAACAGTTTAATGAACCGTATATACTTGCATATAAGCCTACATCGCATATAAGCCTACCCCCTAAAACTGCTTTAAAATGGCCAGTTTTTGCAAAAACCCACATATAAGCCGACCATACAATTGTCTAATTTTACTCCATATTTTTCGTTCATAGAAATTTGTTACTGTAAAGATGTAAAATGCTTACTTTTATGTTACATACCAGTTTGTTTACCTTTTGGAATGACACAAAAACGTGTTCTGCTCTTTCCACATTGTTTGCTATAATAATATCTGAACTTCCGCTCATAATTTATTCACAACTAATGATTAACGAAGTATATATTTAGAAAAAATTATACATTTTGATATGAATAAAGACGAAAATTCTTTTGTTGTGTTTTATTTATTCACAAAAATACTATCACATTTCTGTTTATAATTTACCGTAGTGTTCTTACAGATAATTAGAAACCGTGTGTCCATTTTGTTTTATGCGCATATAAGCTGACCCCCTGATTTCAGTATTGTATTTTATAGTTCTAAATTCGACTTATATGCGAGTATATACGGTAGGCTAAAATATTATATTTAGTTTTATATTCCTTTACCTCATAGCTAGCTTAGATATTATCAATACTTTACAAATGCCATACACTGTTTTGTAAGTTTTTGTTCATAATTGTGTGTTCAGAGTTGAAATGCCTCTAGGGTTAAGTTTAAAAAGTAAAAATTCAATTTTTGCCCCTTTTTAAGATACCATTATGTTGCTTCATAAAGGTATTATTATTTGATATAACTAAAACTAATAATTTTTTTTTGCTGTTAGACCTTAATCCTCTAGCCCAGTGGTTCACAAACTTTTTCTGGTGGCACAGCCCACTTTGAACCACAGCTCTTGCCAGTTGTTCCCCGATGCAGAGATTTTGTTCTTAATAAAAAATTTAAAAAAGTGAGCCCGAGGCTAAGCTAAAAAAATAAAAATAAAAGACACAAGTGTAAGGTGATTTGCCAAAGCTTTGTTAAAGCATTTTGTCCCATGGCTACTAACAATCTAATCTTGTTAATAATTATCTTGTTAATAATTATAAAAATCTTGTTAATAAATATTGTGTTAATCACTATCTTGTTAATAACCTTCTTTTGATGATTGAGGTTGGTTGTTAATAATTAACTTGTAAATAAATGATTTTTGGCCATCAGAATAAACAGAGTCAACAATTTTTGTGGCAAAAAAACACATTAATAAACTTCAGACACATTTTCTTTAATGAGGAAAAGGTTAACATTAATCATTAGCGTTGTCAGTTATTAATTTAGTGCAATATTAGTTTGTCCAACTCGTCATCATTCATTCATTTACTAATGACAGAGACGATTTGCAGCATGTCCATATTTGTTTTAGTTTGGCATGGCTAGTCATTGTCTTAGATTGGTCATCTTAACTCGTTCGATGCAACCATTTTTTAAATCGTTTTGCCGCAAGCCACATATAAATGGACCAGTGGGCCCATCGCTAAAAGAAAACTAGTAGAATTTCAATTCTCACTTGAAGTACACAATTACTGCTGATTAAATGACTTATGGAAACATCATCCTGAACCTGTGCACCCATTAACCTCACTATAATATTTAAAAAATTACTGCTGTAAGCAGGTTTTGTAGTTTTAGAGAAAAAAAATAATGTTTTTTGTGCATTTAAAGAGTGTTGCTTGTATTCATGTTTCATTTTAACTGTTCCGCCTTTTAATGTTTCCATGCTGTGAACTAGGCAGGGGTAGGGTGGGTGGAGATTAGGCAGGGGTAGGGTGGGTGGAGATCAGACAGGGGTAGGGTGGGTGGGGATTAGGCAGGGGTAGGGTGGAACTACCCTTTTCCTTTTAGACTTTCTATTTCCAAATCCTTTATATTAGATTCACTTTTGTTTGTGGGTGGCTGGCTGACTTACTGGCTGGGTGGCAAAATCTTTGACGGCTAATTGGCCCACTTCCTGTCAAGCTATCGACCTGAAACTTGGCACATAGAAATCGTTGCTGATGAAACACACTCTATCAAATTTTCAGTCCCAACCCCCCAAAAGTCAGTTTTTCCTGTATTTTAAGGGGAAGATAAAATGAAATTCACGATAACTGCGCAAAATGATGTTCTTTTAAAAAAAATGGCAAGTGTGTTTGGTGCGTACTATTTTCTTTTATTTTTTTCTGAAATAGTTGGTAAAAATAATCTGCTGTGTAAAAGTGGGTGGGTCATTAATGTAGTTCAAGTTCAATGGCTGGAAGCAAATGTGCGGCTGAGGGGGGGGGGGGGGGTAATTGGTGGGAGAGAATGGGGGGGTGGGGGGGGGGGGGGGGCGCTAATTGGGATTCTTATAAAGTACGTTAGTTACTTGAATGCATGTTTTGTTAAATTTTCAGCCCCAACCTCCCATTGCCCGAGTTTTCTTTTTATAAAGGATTTATACGAAAAACGTTGTTTTTGGAATCTTTTTAAGGAGGTTGTTTAATTAAAATGCTGGAGTAAACAACAAACTTAAATAAGCTCTTATAAAAAAGAAATCTTTTGACATAAAACATTTAGGGAGAAATAATGTTTCTTGCTCCACTTTCAAGCTAACTATAAAAGCACTTTGTGTTGTATCATTAATCCAATTTTAATTATTTATAAAAGAAATTGACAGCTTCTCATTAGTTGATAAATACAGGGTGGGCAATGAAAAAGTAGCCTGGCTTCCAACAAGAGTGTGACAAGAGGAATGAGCAAGTAGATGGCTTTTTTTTTTGTCACTTTCCTACAACTACAAGTTACTGCAGATGCTGGAACCAATGTTAGTAATCCCATCAACTGTGGGCGACTTATTCAAGGCCCACTCTGTACTTCTGAACAAAAAAGTTCAGAATTATTATAAAATTAATTTTTTTTTTATAAGCCAGTAAAGCTTGAATATTTGTTATTTTCCAACCAGGCCAATGAAGACAGCGATTCTTGCGATGAGCTGAAGACTTACAAGTCAGTCCCTTGTGGCACAGCAGCAGAATCAGCATTTCTAAGACCTGACCTAATAATCTCCTTACCTGCGACAACTACAACAAACTTGATCACATCAGAAACACAGACACTCGCATCGAACTCAGCTTCACAACGGGACCCATCTGATGCCCCGCGGACAAACAATTCTGCAAGAACTCCTGACTTTGCCCCAGAGAGTCTTTCAGTAGATATCAACAGACCAGGCAGTATCCACCCTACGCCAGCATCTGTCGGCAGTAACTCTGATGCCTCTCGCCAACTGGTGGTTGAACCAGCTTGGATAGGCCAACAGGAGCAGACAGTTGAAGACGTAGAAGCTGAGCTTGGTGCTGTAGGCGGAGCCTCCCTTTCAACAAACACTGGGCACCAGGTCCCTGTAGTTCCTAAACCTTCCACAACTGCGTTTGTCGGTGGTGTGAAACAATCCGGTAAAAAACATCGAACAGCCGACCCTGGCGAAGTCGTTGGTGATGGGAAAAGAGCAAACAAAGAAGATCAAATAAAACATCATGGAATCTCGTTATCATCCACCTGCCTGGCAATTCAAACAGATGGATCTGGTGACCTCATTGATCAGGATCCCTCAAATGATAATCGCAGTGTTAGGGCTCACAGTGTCCCTGTGGATAACTTCAATTTAGAAGGAGAAAGAGCCGGTCAGTTCTCTGGAGCTCAGACAAAACGCTTGAAGACAAATAGAAGAAAACAGAAGAGTATCTTCTTCTCCGATACCAGCTCTGACTCAAGTTCGTCAAGTGGTCAAGAAAGGAGAGCCAGACCAGGGGCAGTCAGCAAGGCAGGAAAAAACAAGAGATGGCTGATGACACGATTTCTGAGGTCAGTCATTTTCTCAGATTCTAGTTCAACTGATGATAGTGACACTGACAAAAAATCAGGGCGAACGGAGCAGCAAACATCAAGATCTACAGGCAACCCGCTTGGAGTGATAAAGTCTAGTAGCCATCAGCTTAGTGCTACAAGTTCTAGTAATCATCAGCCTAGTGCTACAAGCTCTAGCAGCCATCAGCCTAGTGCTACAAGTTCTAGTATCCATCAGCCTAGTGCTACAAGTTCTAGTAGCCATAAGCCTAGTACTTCAAGTCCTAGTAGCCATCAGCCTAGTACTTCAAGTCCTAGTAGCCGTCAACCAAGTGCAGATTCTGTTTTTCAATCAGGGAGTCAAATTAAGGGCCCATGTGGAATAAACATAGGCTCAGATATTTTATTGGAAAGCAAGCCTGGTAGGGCGGCACGGAACAGTGATCACCTACAAGAACAAAGAGAGCATCAGTTGTCCTCCAGTGTTGGTATTACACAATCACAGCGCAACTACAGCAGAGAACTTGATAGTCCTCGTCTACAGGAAACAGGCGACCGCCAGCCATTAGAGAGCAGCGTTCAATCATCTCTGGATTCAAACACAGTGCTCAAGGAACCAGCTAGCCCCCAACCTAAAAATTCAAGGCTCAAGACAGGAAAGAGTACAATTAATGCTGAACATTTTGAGGTACCTTCCCTTGATCGTTCATTAGGTTCAGATACAGCAGACGTTCTGCCAACATTGTATGACAACCTGAATGGTTCAGCAGGCCTAAGTGACAATTCAGTACAGTCAGTTTATGACAACACTATAGGAGACCATCGTGGAGCTTGCACACCGGTTCTTCTACGTGACCCTAACTTCAACCCTTGTCAACAAGAGAGCGTAGAAACCAACCTTCCGCATTTCTCAAGAACCGAAGCAAGGACGTTGTATGACAACATTGATGACAGTGAACTTATTCTAGAAGACGGTGTCCCCACTTCACCTACATATCCCAACAGGCATATCCAAATAAGAAATTCTCTAACAGAGATTGAAGAACTCAAGACTGGCTATGAACACCTCAGTCCAGCCAGTGATGACGGTGCCACTCCATACAATGTTGTTGTAGTCAGTTCTGGTGAAGATGAGGCAGTCGGCAGTAAGAACAGTGAGAGCCCATCATCCGTCAGCTCAGAAATTCATTGTTATCCTAACATAATTCGCGTGGGCCGAGGTTTCAGTGAGCTGAGTGACAATGTGCGTGAATTTTGTGAAAATGTTGAACATTCGCCCAATCTAGACACTGTAAGGTCTGTACCTGAGAACTCTGGGGACAGAATGTCCCATTTGAACACTCAGTCTTCAGCAATGGGAGCAACACTGGCAACAAGGGAGGGATCTTCAACAGGAAGCAACTTGCAGCTTATCGCCTCCGGGGAGCAGCAACAGAACACATGTGGTAGGATAGATATAGCAGATGATGAATTTGAATTTGTTGAGAATTATTTCGACACAAGCTCTGAGGAAGCTTGTGGTAAGAATTTGTCCCACATTAATTTAGCTCCGTCTTGTTTTGCAATAGGTGGAGGGGAGACAAGTGAGGCTTCTCCAACACCCGCAACCCCTTCCCTCACACAGAGCACGGAGCCTGCCGATGGTGCCCGCCAGAATAACAATAATAATGTCAAAGCTGATGATTCCAGTGAGGACGAAGAGGAGGAGGAAGATGACAACTCTCACCCAGGAACGTCTATGTTGCAGAACAAAAAAAAGCCAAGGTCGAGGCTGAAGAAATTTTTGACGTCGCTGTTGTCACTTTCCTCTTCTGATGACGATGATGAAAACTTTGATGTGCGAACTTCCTCATCTTCCAAATCATCTGACTGGTAGTGAGTGAGCCTGACATGATAACATACAAACCATAATACTTGAATGCAGTATGTCTTACCAACCATAATAATTTAGTTCAGTTGGTCACCTTACAAAAACAATTCCACTCATTTTTAAAGTGGAATTAATATTTTTAAAAAAAAACCAGTTGTGTGAATTTAGGTTACTAAGCCTAAAACTCAAATATAATTATTTTTTTTAAAGTGTTTAAAAACATGCTTGTATAAGTTAAGTCATGTATTTTCCCACCCTCAAAACTAAGTACAATTTTGATATTATGTGGTTCGTTAATAACATTATTATCGTTAGACGAGGTGGTTAGGAAAAACAGTTTTGAGTCAGCACAATCATGAAATGTCCTAAAATGTGTCTTTTTTTGTTTGATGCTTAATTTTTTTTTTTTTAATTTATTAAATTAAAATGGCCTTTCATATATTACATATGGAAAGGGAGAGTTTGTTGATTAATGAGATTTTGAGTACTGGTATGTAAAGTGGTTTGGGGGGGGGGGGTGGGGGGGTGTTTCATGATATTGACAGAATATGAATGTAATGTATGCAAAAATTCTGAAATAATTATCTTGAAATTCTGAATCTATTCTAATATCTCAAATAAAGCCAACTTTCATCTAAAATTCTGGAAAAACCATTACTTTTTTTTAAAAAGCCTTTTAAAATATAACTGCAATGTTTAGTAACTTCATAAATATTTTGTAACTATCATGATACTGTTGCTTTGTGTTTTCACAAATAAGTTGCTAGATATCGCAACAGATTTAGTCTAGGACAACTGTAGTCCACTGCAAGTTTCGGTATGAGTGACGAAATTTGTGTCATGTTTATGATTGATGATTTAGTTCAGCTGAACCAAGCAGCTGCAGTAGGGAAAAGAGGGAGAAAATGAATGACAAAATTTGTAACAGTGTTTCCCAATCATTTTTGCCTCATTTTTTGTGTGTACATAATACATGGATGGCCCCGAAACCTGCATACATACATATATATAATCAGACATGTGTAGAAAAAAATATTTACACTGGTAAACCATAAGTAGATTGGTATGCTCTTTTTTTCTTATATCAACTATTATCTTATGGGCATTATAAATATAATTGTTTGCGAGGGTCAAAGAACAGCTTAATACTTTGATAATCACTCACAGTGTTAGTTTTAACTCATTTACCAGTACTGGAAATAAAAATTGTATGTATTTATTGACTAACTTATTTAAGTTATTGCTGCTATGTGTACAATTTCAGTGATATTTTGTGATGCAATATTTTTTTATTTACATTGACTTTAATACAGGGGTCAGTGAATTTTTTTTTACCTATAATTATAATGGCTAACCCCCACTTTACCCCCAGGATATTGAAAAGGACAAAAATCATTGACTATTTAAAATCAGAATTTTCTAATGAATCTATCTATAGAGACAATATAAATTTTAATTTTACAAAGATTTAATCAATTGTGATGAAATAAATTCATAAAAATCCTCAAAATTTGTTCGAGTCAGATATAGCAAAAGTCAACTAGGTCAAAATGATGTGCATAAGACAAGAAGTATGATTATGCTAGCTGCTGAGCCACTACTAACCACACAATGTTGGTTGCATTTCTCTATTACACTGGCTATAAGCAGTTTTGCCACAAATGCACTTTTTATGTATTTTTATTTATGTCATTTGAGCCCTCATGACCCACAAGATTTTCACTTTTACACCATATGGTGCAATTTACTCTAGTTCGCTGACTCCTGCTTTAATGAAAAGTTAATTTTTTATGACAGTGCTTCCACTATATGATTGCTATTCCCTTTAAGTGATTGCTATCCCCACCCAGTATTCAAATTTTTTTATATTGCCTGTTCCTATGCTTCCAAGTTGCACTAGAAAATTTTATTATAGTTTACTGATATACTGTAGAAGGTCATGGTAATAAGTCTCAACTCTATAAGTAGCATAACTTTACCAATAGAAGTGAAAAAATAAGTTATTGTTGAGTGCATTTCATTGGTTTTGAGTTTAGCTTATGTATTGTTTAAAATAATATCTGCCAAGATTTGAACAGGGTTTATTTCACCCATCACTCACCAGAGATTATTCTATGGTGAATTCATTGATCATATTTACAATTCATTAGTACAATAATCTTATTTTACCAAAAACACCACTCTTTTGAATGTATGTAGATACCGGTACCACTATGTTTAGAAGTGGAACTGCATGATGATTATTTGTACAGTCTCCGACTCAGTATGAAAAGTGCGGTTGTCACCTTTAGAAGTCTATCTCTTGGTAGACACATATAAATACACACATACATGCACACACACACACAGATATACACTAACAGTCAGTGCCCAGTATGAAAAGTGCAGTTGTCACCTTTAGAAGTCTATCTCTTGGTACACACATATAAATACACACATACATGCACACACAGATATACACTAACAGTCAGTGCCCAGTATGAGAAATGCGGTTGTCACCTCTTATAAAGTCTATCGCTTAGTACAGGGGTTGGAAAACCCCATTTTTTATTTTTAGTGAAGTGCCATCTTATAAATTATATCTGCTACCATTAGAAAATATTTATGGATCCACAGACAGCGTAGGATAGGAAGAGCGAATGTACACGACGCCTGGAGTGATATTTTAGTTCTAATATATTACAATTAAATTATTTATTCAATCTTTTTATATTACAAATGAAAAGAGCCGCGTGTCCTTGTAGAATTTAGTTGTTTTAGAGTTTCTGAGCATTCATAGTTTCATATAGTAATGTTCCTTGTTTTACTGTGTTAATGATTCCTGCAAGATAGAGGAGAAGAGTCGGTGACCCACATTTAAAAAAAAAATCAGTTTTTATGTAAGAACTGTAGAGCTTGGATGGTCTAGCCTGGAAGTAGCTGTTTAACCAAAGGGACCTCTCCCTGATACGGATTGTGATTTCAAACTAATGAAGTGTTCCTCTATTGGTGGTAAATGGTTTGCCCGTTAACACATCACCCATTTGTCCCATTATCTATTGAAATCAAAAAACTATTTCAGCCTTTAAAAAGTGTTTTATCTTTCATTGGCATAATCAAAACACTCTAAATTTGTTTTAATTACATTGTGTATTTACAATTTGATAGAAATGTTGTAGGAATAAAGTTGATTTATATATTTATTTATATATATATATATATATATATATATATATATATATATATATATATATATATATATATATATATATATATGAGAAATTGTTGTTGCACTTTCCAACAAAGATTATTTTTAAAATTGTGAAAATGTATACATTAAAAAAAATTGCATGTCCTATAAATGATTTTTAAAAAAAAACTTATTTTGTTGGTGATGAATGCATTTTAGATCAGTTGGATTGGTTGTAACAATTGTCTTGTTAACCACTGTCTTCCTGTTTCAAAAACTGTTTTTTTTTTAAAAATTGTTTAGAAGGGGAAAAAAATGTATTTATTGTCATCTGTAATGACAACTTTTGCCCAAATGCTTAAATTTATTAGGCACAAGGATGTGAAGTACATTACTTTCTATAATGTACTGTGCACACACAAAATGTATTCAGCATTTATCCAATTTATTAATTCTAGTCAATTTTAAAAAGGATGCTCTCGAATTGATGAATCAAAAGCTTGTCTCATGATATATCAAATTTTTCTTTTACAAAACTCATCCACAGAAAAGAAGAAAAAAAAAGCCAGTTTTGACGGCTGTTGTTTTCTTAATCTTGATATTAATTTTAAATGATTTGAGATAAGTGAAAAATAACAATGAATGTCAGTAGTTACCAATATGCCCCCACTCATGCAATTCAAAGACAGAAAATGTATATTGTCATAAATCGAGCTTGTCATTGTCTGAGCTGTGTGATGATTGCAGATGTTTATACCACTCAGTGTTTCTAAGTTTAAACTTGTTTGAAAAAACAATTTTTTTTTTAGCTTCATGTTTTTTCTAGTCTGGCATGAAATCAAATTTATGAAACAATTGTGGCCATTAATCCTATTTATTTACATTTGAAACTCACCACAAATGTATTCTTCTTTTTCTATACATAGGACCCACAATCAATTTATTGATCATTCTGATTGACCATGATTATTTGTATAGGGATTGACATATCAAAAAGCTTTTCATTTATTAAACAAATTATTATTTTTTTAAATGCATATGCTATCCACAGAGAATGTTTGAAATTGCAAAGTTGGTAACTAACTTTAACAGAAGTGGATTTGTCTGCAATTGATTATATTATTTATTGGGTCCTAAAATGAATCATTAAAAGAATGAAACTAAAAATGCCTTCTTAATTTTTGTTATTTTTAAGCTTTGACTTCTGCTCAGAACTGGAAGTATTAAAAAACTAAAGCAGGGAATCTTCAACAATACACATGAAATAATCCATAATTGATATATTAAATAAATATTTGATAATTTTTATCATTGAAGATGGGCTTTGCAGAATGCAGGTTCATTTCGAAAGAATTGTTAAATTTGCTATAATTATTTTACAGAATATCAATTTTAATTAGATTAATTTCATCAAAATAAAAAGAAATTGAAGACACACCTACATACAATATCCAAAGAAATCCACAACAAA